CGCTTCACTTGCTTGCTCGAGAGACATGCACGATGCTTTCATCACGCGTGATAATTGTAGCGGAACCACACGTGATGATGACTGAAGTTCTGCCAAATCATGTGTACTGATTTTTTTCAGCTAAGTTATCACTATTTTGGAAGCCATCGTAGGCAACCGCGTAAGAAATTACAGTGGTATGTCCAATAATTTACGTAAAACGGCTGTTCTGAAAAAAAAAATGAATTGTAAACTAAAGCGAGACAGCAAAGGATTTTACTAACAAATTTTAGGAGCCGTAACTGCGCTTAAATTTCTCCAGACACTTGGTTTAGATTTTCCATATATTTGTCTGCAATTTTCCCGGGAAATTTTAGTCGGCAGGAAGATATATTTTTACAAGCAAATGTATAGAAAATTTTAAAAAGTGGTTCTAGAGCGTGTAGCTGCATGTAACGCCCTCAGATTTTTTCAGTAGAATTGTTAGGAGTGAAGCTTTTGTTTAAAATTCATATTTTTTCAGAACAGCCGTTTTATGGAAATTATTCGATATTAGATTCTCATACAAACACTGTAATTTCTCACGCGGTTGCGTCAAGATGGCTTCCAACTATCAGTATAATGATTCTTGTACCTGACAAAGTGACATGCTTCAAGTTCGACAACTTCCTGCATGTGTTTGTCTCGCACTAGCGATTTGGGGTTTGATAAGCCGTTATCCTTAGGAAACCAGAAGTCTATGTCTTTATATATTTAAATAACTTATTTAACCTTCAGCAAAGTTTTTGTTTTAAAAAATTCCTTGATGCCCCAAAACACTTGGGAGCTGCGAAAAAGGGATATCTTTTAAATACGACTTTTGCACTCTTCAACTTCCGTCTTGGCCTGTTGGTCTAGTGGTATGATTCTCGCTTCGGGTGCGAGAGGTCCCGGGTTCGACTCCCGGACAGGCCCCAATTTTCTCCCTCTTGAGTATAAACAATTCTTTTTTTTTTCTTTTCTTTTTATACCCATATTTTAAAATTAATTTAGGGTTGAGTTACTTTTTGAATCTATTTCCTTCGACAACATAATAAATCTAGGTTAAAAGTGTAATAGTTTAAAAAGCATCCACTCGAAGATAATGAAACTCCCACACCACACTAAAACCGCTGACAGGCAAGCTTAATAAGATAAAAACATGAATGGCTTTTTTAAATGCACAGAACTAAGATAAGTTAAACTTTTACGAATGGATATATTAAAGCTTACAGCGAAAAGGTTCGAGCAGGAACGCTGAGGAAGACGAGGAACGTTAGCGGGACCTGAAGTCCAAAGTTTCTTTGCCAAACTGGCTTTTATATTGTATTAAAGAATATAATACTATTACTTAGCGAAGATACTGAATAAATATTAAAAAAACTCACATCAATCCAAACACTTGCTCCCTTCGCTCAATCGGCTGATTGGAATCGCTCGAGGCTTGCGAAACTTTGAGTCACCATCCATATCCGAGAGACCGATAGCCGCCACACTGGTCCGTATCGGGTGTCAAGTTGCCTGATCTAAACCTGGAAAGCCATCTATATCGTACAAGAACTACTACTTTACGATAATCTGCAATGAGGTGTTTTAAATGAAGACATTTTTTGTGTTGACGCCAGAAAGCAAACTGATTAATCATGGCGCGAATTACAAACGAAAGCTTGGTAACCACACAGAACCGATCCTATTTCCCAGGCCCTTACCCGATGTAGAATCAAAGAACGAAACAGGTATATGAGGAAAAGATGAACATCATCAAAGCAACGTTGCATGTTCTCAGTTATAAGCATTCACTGAGGATGCTTTCGGGGATCGAAGCTGAACCAGTATTTCGCTCGTCACGTATTTGGATTGCGTGACGTATGAAACTTTGAGCAAGGCCAACTTTGTTTCCAGGGTCTCTCGGGGTGGAGAGAAAAGAAGCAAAAACAAATTTATTTTAAAACAGACAAACAAACAAACAAACAAACAAACAAACAGAGAAATAAAACATGGAAGTTGGGCCTGTCCGGGAGTCGAACCCGGGACCTCTCGCACCCTAAGCGAGAATCATGCCACTAGACCAACAGGCCAAGCACAGCGCATTACATATAATTATACCATCAGTTTAATTATCACCTGTCAATAAAAAAAAATTGATTGGCACGAAGCTGGACTGTTCTCACTAAAAAAAGGCTTTCCGAGACTTAATGAACAGATTTTATTTAGTTTCCTGTTTTACTCTAATCGTAACGACTTTCTGTTTCTCCATTAAATCCCATGAGGCGCGGACGGCTTTCCGGTCCAAGATATCGGAAAAACTCAAGGAGCTTTTATCTTTACAACTTTGTTATTGGGATCTTTTTCCTTTTTTTAGTCGTATGTGTAAATGCAGCGACCACTGACCCAAGTACGTATAACAAAAGTACTGTTTACAAAACTAGCAGGAGTGTATTAGAAGGTGTAAAAACTCTCGGCCTCTCCTCGAGTTTTTAAACATGTTAATAAGCTATAATACACGACTGCGAGTTTTTTGAACGGCTTCATTTAAAATCTCTGATATAGATCAACTCATTTTTGCATTAATATTGATATTTGGGGTTATTTTGGTCTAAAAAAATGGACGTAAAGTTTAGCCCTGTCTTTATCAGATATAAAGACACATTCAACATTAATTTCTTTTGTTTCTTGTTTATGAATTATTATTGACTTTTTGAAGATTGAAAAAGACATTGTTTTCAAAAGCCATGTTCAGGCAATTCATTTTCTGTAATGGGCCGACCATTTGACTTTTGAGGGGGGAAGGGGTATGAGTGATTTCAGAGAAAAATATAATACAGACTGATTTCGAGGGGAAAAAATTTCTTGTAAGGAAATGCCTGGCGAAAAATATTCCTGCACTGAAAAAAAATACCTATCATGGCGTATAACGCTGGAAAAAATCTTACACCGTTGCATGTCAGGAAAACATTCTATCACCAGAGGTTTGAGGAAAAAAATTATTGCACAAACCAAATCACCCATACCCCCACCCCCCACTCTATTAATCGACCACGCTAGACAAACCTCGTACGAGGTTTGTTTGCAGTGATTTAATGGCAGTCCGCTTGATACAGGCTCTAATGTAATACATTAGTTTTGCACTAGATATGAATGTTCATTAACTACTGGGGAAACTGAACAAACGACAAAGGTGAGCAAGAGATGAAAAATGAATTTGTTTTCGTGTATATTTTCTTTTATGGAATAAAATATAAATCGACTGCTTCAAAATCCATTTCGCTACTTTATTCTAAATTATTTACATCTGCCTTTCTTCTAATAGAAGGGCATCACTTTCACACAAAAAGGAAAAAATAATTTTAGTGTCTTGAAAGTCATTTTTGCAGCAAAAGATCCGTAAATATCAGAACTATTCAAGGAGGACAGGCGGCAAATTACTGTCGCTCGAAATACCTAAAAGTCGTAACTGTTCGCATCAGTAGGATGCCTAGACTATTATAGCAAAGGCAAACGAAAAAAACAGCGCTTGATCATGATTTTCTCGCCACTTTTTCCATCGCCACACACATGATACACTTATTTTTTCTGCTGCGCTGATAATTCCATTGAAAAAAAAAAACACTCTTCCCTGGTTATACCATATTACACAAAGGTATATAGTCACAGCTAGCAGGATATGGCATCCCAAGTAAGTAGCGTGGTGGTAGCAATTATGGTAAGTTCTTTTTCCTTTCCATTTCAAACTTTGGTAGTATACCACCACCGCAAAATGCAAACGTGAATGTGCCAGTTCAGTTCTCCGTTTTGGATTTTTACCGCAAGAACGCTCCATGTGTAGTAGTTATCAAAGAGCAAACATCAGGTGAAAGAAACGGTCAAGATTCCAGTCATCTCTCGACTGCAATTTAGTTACATATTACTTATATACACCGGTGGTTCAATGCCGCCTTCCACATGCTTCATTTCCATGGCGTTGAATTCTTTGGGCACAAATATGGCCGTATGAAGGGTCTAAAAGACAAAAAAGAATTTGTAAAAATAAATTCAATTATAGCGTGCCTAGACTTCGTGAGAAGCCTAGATTAGCTTGGATTGGTGAGGAGACGGGGAAAATAGAAAATACAGAGGCTTAAGTTTAACACTTTAAATCCTAAGATCAAAATCAAATTCTCGTTTGCCATCCCTATTCATCTACTATAGAAGTAGTGGAGAGAAGTTGATAAAATATCAAGCAAATTCATCTTGTGCGATCATGTCCTTAATGTCCTTAATTCTCATGACCACTCTGTTTTACCAAGCACTGCTATTACAAGGAGAGATTTGATGCTGATCACTCTTAAGGTTTAAAGGGTTAAGTCCATCCTCCCTTTTTTACATCTCCGTATAAGTATGCTGAAAGCTTAACCTAGCATATAATCTGCTCAAAGAAATATGGACAAGTAGTAATATTCTAAGAGGCTCATGCGCCGTGATCAACCAGGCTAAGCTTGTTACCATAAAGGTGATGTTACACGGGACGATTCGCATTGCTGCGACATTGTTTCGAATGGTTATAACATTGTTCCAGCACTGCAATGTTGTGTTGCGCTAAAAATCGTCTTTGCGAATCGTCCCGTGTAACATCACCTTAAAGCACGCATCGAAAGTCATAAGTATGCTTTATAGCCGAGAATCAACAGAAGTGCCTTAAGAAATTTGGAAGAAAACGAGCTAAAAGAAAGTAAACCAAGGAGAGTCAATAGAAACCGCCGAACATGATAAAAATCGCCACTTTAGAAACGAGAAAGGGACTGGAACGCCACAATTGTTTCTGGGATCGATACTGGAGAAGCGCCGGTCAGTAAATTTTTTTCCCTGTCTGTTGAAACAGTCCCAGAAGTCTTTGCGAAAGTTAACTCGACCAAGTTTCTTTCGCGTTTCTTAATTAAAGGCAAGGGCAAAACTGGTTCATATGCAGGTACCTTGCCACCTCGCCACCTATAGGTAAGTAATACTATGGAAGTAAACTGTGCCAATTATTTCATTTTCGTTGGTTGCGAGCCGACTTCTCGTTGGTGGCGAGATGGTTTGGTAGCGAGATGACTGTAAACCCCTACCTGAGCGGAGCTTCCGCTACCTTTCTCGAAACAATAAATGTCTACAATAGTTTTCACGATGAGGATAGGCACAAACAGCATGGACGTTGCGGCAATGATCCACCCTACTGCCTCCCCCCAGGGGGGATAGACGTAGTCCTCATACTTGATTCTAGAAGACTTGATTAAGCTGAACAGCAGTATACCCTAAACAGAGAATAAGCCAAAGTTAGTCCCACTTTAAACGTCCAATTTCACATGTGCCGAGTTTAATTCGAAAATTAACAGCATGTCAGATGCGACTTCTGATTCAATTAAATTCGACAGTTTCAAATTAAATACAACTTTGCCGAATCTGCCACTGGAACAGTCGAAGATTCGACTTTGGTTTGACATTTCATTCAGACGTCGCACTTCACATGTGCCAAAAGTAATGCATTAATTATAGAAACTATTACATTTTGTATCCATATTGAATAACAAGTTGTTTTAGAGACTGGGAATAATTACAACAAATGGAGTTAAATTCGGCAGCATTATATCCGACGTCTGAAAAATCTGCCTGCCATCGAGGTTCTTTTTTTCGGGACAGCGTAGAAAAAAAAAACGCGAAAACCTAATCGCAAGTTACTCTTAAGCTCGCCTAGAAGTTTATCCACTCACTCATTCCCCCCCCCCCCCCCCCCCCCCCCCCCCCCCCCCCCCCCCCCCCCCCGCCACCCCACACCACTACCAACAAACAACAACACCCACACCCTAGACAAAAACACACAAACTGTTTTATATATCATTAATTTTTTTTTTTTTCATATACACACCAGATAATGCAATAAATATCACTAAATTACTCATTCTAATCCGCCGCTGCAAAAAATTCGGCACCCCGAGGTCTTTTTTTTGGGGGCCGCGGAAAAAAAAAAAAACCGCAAACACCCTGCGCAATTCCCCCTTAAGCCCCCCGCAAAGTTTTTCCCCCCCCCCATCCCCCCCCCCCCCCACCGCGCCCCCCGCCTCTTGCCTACAGGTACAGACTACCAAGCCTGTTAAAGGCAGTTAAAGTGAATCACTATTCAGGCAAAATGCATGATAATTATTTTAAACGTTTTAGATTTGTGTACTTACCAGAACCATAAGTGGTGAAACATATTTCCAACAGATCAACCACCACTTGGAGATTGGATGCCCGATCATGTCTTCCACGTCACGTGCAAATCTTTCGGCTCCTAAGGGAATTCACACGAGTTAATTTTTCCACTCATCTGAAAGTATGAATCCAAACAAAGTCCACTTACCGTAAATCCATGCAACGACAATCAACTCCAAAAATACAATGAACAGAAGTGATAAACCGGCTGAGAACGAGTCAAATAGGTTAAACACGTATATACCACCCTGTTAAATAGGAAAAGAAATTTATGCTGTCAAGCACACATTTTTCAGGCATTAACTTAAAGAAACAGCGACTTTGCCAACTTAAAACGTACCTAGTATTCCAGCTCTAAGCGTTTTGTACAGAAGAAAGTGGCTTACTTATTAAATCGACACATCGCAGAGCACGTAACAATTAATTTTAATAAATGTAGGATGGTACTATGGGCGATGATGTTAATGATGATGAAGACGACGACGATGACGCTAATGATGATGATGATGATAATGATGACGTTGAAAACCGTGAAAAACACAAATTATAATGACGACGCTGTGATTATGATGATGAGGAGGAGAATAAAAAAAACATGAGTGGTACAACAGTACACATCACGAAATGTTTTGGAAAATGACAAAGATGCTTTACACAATAATCAGAGCGATACTGATCAATTCTCTGTAACGCTAAAACATCATTTCCAATAACTCACTTCAGTCACACAGGAAAGACCAAGCAGGAAGAGTATCACACATATAACAAGTACAACAAGTTCCCGATAGCGACTCAACTTTCGAGGGTAATGCTCGATTATACATGCAGCAACTATTTCCACCTGACCAAACTGAAAAAAAAAAATAGAAAAATAAAGAACTTGATTACCTATTTGAAAAAAATACAAGACAGGATATAAAAAAAAAGCAGCAACAAAAGTGACCGTGAGTGAGGAATTTAACTAAGAAATTTTGTTAATCCATGAACTTCGAGCGGTCGAAAATGCTCAGCCTTGAGCAACAGACCTATCCCGTACATTTAAGTAGAGAGTGACCAAAACAACTGTTAGCTTTTCCCTGGGGATTAAGATACAACCAGGAGTCGTAACAACTCATATAAAATCCAATTTTAGTTGCTCACTGACTCCATCCTCTGCCAAACTATAATTCCCTTAAAATCTAACCCCTTTATTAGTTATATTATTTACCTGACTGTCTAAACCCAACATAATCAGCATGAAGAAAAACAGCACAGCCCAAGCTTGAGGGACAGGCAGCTCCGCCAAAGCTGCTGGGTAGGCTATAAACGCTAATCCGGGACCTTCAAAAAGAACAACAATGACGTAATCACGTAAGGATTTTCAACAAGCTTCCAGCTCATTCAGTTTCACGTGTAGACTCATTCCTAGTTGTCTTGAAAGCCCGGCGCGGCACAGGAGCGGTTCATTAATGTCGAGGGTGAAGTACTTGTTATTAAGACGACCAGAACGAGTCCGCGTCACTTCGGTAAAAACAATTGCGGAATGGGCTGATTTGTTTGGAATACTTGTAAGAAAAAAATACTACCAAAAGTTTTTTTTTTTCTATAAATGCCTAACACCACCCTCTTGGAAGTCCCAAGTTGAGGCACGATGGGTAGGGAATTACTTCCGATACAGCAGTAAGCGCTAACTAGAATCACAAAATTATCAGTTGGTCAAGCCTTTGCAAGAATAGGGCTCGGCTCTGCATCGATAAGAAAATCAGCATTTTAAGTTAAATACTTAAGAAAAAGGAATAAGCTAAACATCTTTCACATGAAACATACTCGGTTGTCAGTTGGAGTAAACTAATATACAAACAGTCTTTTTCGAAGAATTTTGGAAGGATGTCTTCCCTTAGCTGTTTGGAGACTTTCAAAGGTTTACGCAGTCTTGCGAAACACTTTTCAAATACGTAAGATTTCCGACTAATTACGAAGTTCCCCAAAACACCACGTGGTTTCTTAGTACTATTAGGATCACACAAAATGCCAGAATAGTTTATAATAACGAAGTTGTGTATACTAGGGTCACATTTAAACGTACATAGAGAGGCTTCTTGAAAAACAGAGAGCCAAAGCATATCTTCTTCATGAAGGGCATAACCCTAAGACATTCGAACAAGATCCGAAGCCTTCAGAGATTTCCGGATATTTACAAAGTTAAACAAGAGCTGCCAGTACCTTGTGAAGCTACATCAGCTACGCTCTTTCCTTGCTGCCCAGCGATAAACCCCAAAATAGAAAATATTGCAAAGCCAGCGAACACACTGGTGGCACAGTTTGTAATGGAAATTATAAGGGAGTCTCTGTATAAAATAGAAAATAGCGATAAGAAAATGTCAATACTTTTTGACAGCTTTTTGAAAAGGGCGCGTAAAGACTGCTAAGGCTGCTCTTACTTCAGAATATTATTGTTCTTGTTATTATAGCTGGCGAATGTCAGGTTGACACCCATTCCCATTGCTAACGAGTACAGAACCTGGGCCGCTGCATCAATCCACACCTTCCGAAACAAAACAACTGATTCATTAGCTACTGACCGGGCTATATACATCAATAGTCACTTTATACTCTATCCTCTGTACCCTACAATCCGTCGGGTACCCTGGGATCGAGAGTGACAGCGAGCGCTTATGGGATTCCTTAGCTATAGGGAACGTACGTAATTTTCTGTTCTGAAAGGCATGTGGTTTTGGCATTATTCAACTTGGTCGCACGAAGTCCGTGCTCCCAGCCCAGATAATGCCATAAAGTCTCTTTTATCTTCCTCGTTCCCAGGGCCCTTCTCGCCCCTCAGTCCCATTTTCTAAAGGAAAAGCCCTGGGAACGAGGTTGGTTAAGGCCTCAACGAAATGTAGAGACAAGACAGGTGAAATGTTGTCATTCAATTTTGACTTTGGACCAATATTTTTTTCAACCTGGAACAATATGTTAGAAGTTGGTTTAGTGTTTGTGAACATATTAAAACAACACAACCGTATTCAATGTTAATGCACGTGCTCCTTCAACATATGGGAGCAATTGAAAGTGTATTTTACCATGGCCAGTTCAGAACTAAATCGTACACCGAGAAAAATTAATTAAAAGAGATACTGCCGAGATTTAGGATCTCACCAGCTAAAGATACCTCTAACAACCACCCGCCAACTTAGAATCCAGAAAGAAACTCAGCCGAGTTAAGTTTTGCAAAGACTTTTGGGATTGTTACTACGGACAAGGAAAAAAGTTGGCCAATAGCTGACCGGCGCGTCTCCAGTAACGAGCCCAGAATCAATTGTGGGACGCATTTCTGCCCCAATTCCCTTCTCTTTTCTTAAATGGCAAATAACACTAGTCAATACTGCACCTTTGGATCGGCGAGTCTCCCCCATGAGGGAACAAGGTAGAATACCAGTCCATCTTTAGCCCCAGGTAGGGTGACCCCCCGGAAAAACAAGATTACCAGGATAACGTAAGGCGCTGTGGCTGTTACGTACACAACCTGCAAATAATACCAAAATGACCTCAGGTTTTTTTTTTTTAACGAGGTGTTCTGATGCAAGCTGTCCCGGTTTAGTCATTTACATCCCATAGGATTGCACCGGGGCTAAAAGCGAATTCTACAGCATTTTTCAAAGGAGTATTGCAACATGCGCACTCAGTTCAATTAATCAGTCATAGGGATAAATTATAGAGACAAATTGCGTGTTGCCGTGTGAGTTTCTCGGCGAGAAATGTGTCAGATTCTAGTTAGGATATTTCTGTGCATTCCTTTAGTGGAATAATCAGTGGTCTTCGAGGTATGCACGCATTAGTACGCGTGTACCAATTTTACCTCTATATGAAAAGAATGGTATTCTAAGCAACAAAACTCAGGGGTGGATAGAAGCAACTATAACTAATACCAAGCCAAACCAAGTTATCCTTCATGTGATCACCTTTCCAGTAGTTCGCACGCCTTTCCATATACAGAAATAAACTAGTATCCAGGCCACTAACACGCTGATTGTAATAGGTACATTGAGAGAGCCTGGTTCATCAATCCCGCTGGAAATCTTCAGCGTTTCCTTTCTGTTGATAAAATAAACAACTCTGATAATGACATAGAACGTCCCTCTAAAGGATTAAGAAGAGCATTTGAGAATGTCGGAGACGGGACATTCATTTATGTGGTCTTCAATTACCAGTCACGTGCATGAAGTATGATCTGAACTTCCAAATTTAGTTTACGACTGCTTATTGGTCCAGCTTCAATCTCGCTTTGTGGACCAGCGATCTATACCTGCCATATTGCGCAGTCTCTTTAAAACCACCTATACAATAAACCTTAATTACCACACCGTCCTACATGCACGTTGTGTCGTTCGCTGCTTCGTGACGATATTTTGCCATCCTCTAGGACACGCATGATCTCGATCTCTTAATTTTTACGGCCCCGGTAAAAAGTCTCTGATTGAAACACTGCTCATAACAAGAAGAAACATCACTTACTGCATTTTTTTTTTCATCGCATTAACATAATAAAAATCAAAATGGCAAACAGACAAACAAGGAATCTTCTTCCTCACTTTCACCCAAAGGCCAGGATACAAAGCACGCATCTGTAAAGTGACCTAAGAAGGTAGGCTGCTTAGCCTAGAACAACTTACACGAGGAATTCCCGACTGGGGGAAGACCCAGATGCATTAGGATTTGAAGCGTTGTAGACATAGCAGTCTGGTGTGTTCCACGGGTGATGACATCCCACCCATGGAATATCCTTCTTGAAAGCCTGATAGAAGTAAAACAGAGACCACGCCATGATAACGTTATAGTAGACTGATACCAGGAATGAGACAGCGATGCTTGCAAAACCGATCCCTAAGGAAGAAAGGAATACACTTATTAAGAGTAAGACTTATTCACGTTTTAATATATGCCAGTAGCGGATCCAAACCTTCAGATAAGGGCGGGGGGAGGGGGGGCGGTCTAAAAAAAGTGTTTTACCCCTTTCGGGCCTCAGTTTGGTCTAAAAATAAGGGGGAGGCCCGGGGCCCCCTGGGCCCCTTCCCTGGATCCGCCACTGTATGCAGTTCTCCAACATAGTAAATATGGTCAGCCACTTAAATCGAAATGATAGCCATGTAAGGCAAGAGGGGTACAAATTACCTCTGAGCAACGGACAAAGCTTGTTCCAGGCGTGCACTGGTTCTGACTGAGTAAATTGTCCCACACATTGTTCAAGGAAAAAAATCGGTACCCCTCCAAATGCCAGAAAGAGTAGGTAAGGAATCAAAAATGCCCCTGCAGAGACGAAAAAAGATCATCACTGACATCAGTACTGAGGAAAAATACTTAAGTTAGTTCTCTATTCATGACATGGTACAACTGGACGGTAAACTGCGCCTAGGGTAACTTTTGCTTTGCAAATTCTATTGAGAGTTTTCTTAAGCTTTGCTAAGCTGTTTAGCAAGCCGGTGAAAAATATGAAGGGAGTTTCCTTTTGTTGCGCTGTCTCATAGTTTCAATCACTTTGTTTAATGACTTATTCCTGCCAGCCTTTTAAAATTTTTTCTACGTTTTCAATGCTTCGAATGTTAGAAAAGCGTCCGTTTTAGGCTAATCGCATACTCGGCTTCGATTCCTTTCTTTCGTTTCCATTCCCCACCTAGAAACTTTCAATGCGTCGTAGGATAAAAAGCGTCCGCTGGTGGCCAGAACCCAAAAGTATACTCGACTTCGATTCCGATCTCTTCCCCACTTAGAAATTTACCATGAGCTGTATTTTTTTGTGAATAAACCTGTCGATACCTACCGCCTCCATTTTTAAAGCACATGTATGGAAATCTCCACATGTTTCCATATCCTACGCAGAAACCAATGCACGCGAACAAAAACTCAATTTTTCTGCTCCAACGATCTCGGCCTTCCTTGTCTACTACTACAAAGACAGGCTTTTCCTCATGATGTTCGGGTTTTCTCTCCAAAGTAAACGTTACAGATCCGCTGTCTAGAGTGTTCATGTCTGGAAACAAATACATACACAAACAAGAAGAGATTGGATTTCTGACACAAAACAGTTAATTGAATTTCTAACATATTGACAACAGAAAAATTTCTCTAGTCAAGGCATTCAGCTTTTTATGTTGTTTTCAAGTCGAGAAAGTTGTTTGAAACCTAAAGGACTTTAAATTGTTATCCTATCTCTAAAAGCCCCATATTGATATAAAGTTTAAGGGTCCGCTTTCAGTGACGTCAATGGACCGCAACAAGAGAACGTATTGAAGCACAGGCTTCTCTGTTCTCTTGATCGTAAGAAAAGAAAAGAAGGTCGTAAGAAAAGTTTCAAAAGCTTATGTAAGTCACCGAACTGTTCTAGATTTTTTTTTCAACGAAAACGAACACTTCAGCGTAAATTATAGAAATAGTACTACGTTTGCGCATTTGTTAGCTTCAAAACAGCACGCAAAGACAGAATATTTTAGGACTATAAAAGTGGAAGATATTTGCTTTTTGGGGGGCGCGCGACACTACATGACCCCCGCTTTTCATTCTTAAGTTCAAGTTCAAGTTCATTTATTCACAGTTATTCAATTACAATACAACAACAATAAGAAAAAAAGAAGAAGTAAAAACAGGGCTAACTATACATTGAATTAAACATAGCAAAGGAAAAAAAGTGTGTAGCAGCCAAAGGAGCCAAGCTTTCGAGTTGGCTACTACCACAGAGCGGTTACAAGTGGGTGAATGTTATACGGATGACCTTACTTATTCGAACTAAAGTTCATTTCCTTAGCCTTGCCACACTTTTTTGTGTCGTTCTACTGTGTTTAATTCCAGCTCTGCTATTATGAATAGCCCATTATGCCTATTATCCATGTTGCCTATGGACTGGACAAACTTGTTAAAATGTATTTGGGGGAATGCATCAAGAGGTTTCTCACAAAGATCAACTGAACTTTTAATTTAATCTATTTCGAAATTTTCGGTTAATAAAGGCTACAAGCAAAAGTTTGGTACTTTTGTACTATGCTAGTTATTTCGAGCCCCTGTTCAACTCCAACTCAGCTCCTCCCCTTCAACTGAGGAGCGTTCAACGGTATTGGCCTTTTACCAGAAACGAGAACACTGCTGTAAACAACGAATAAGTATATTGAACCCTGTTTTTATACTGTCATCTAGTGGAGCTTGGTTTAAACTCAAAGGCAAATATAAAAAGTTTGAAAGTATACCCGCGGAGAGCTATGCGTGGGCATTAGCCACTGATCAGAGGATATGGGTCGCTGAGGCCTTCAATTCTCACAGAGTTTGTGAAGTGCTTTGCATTCACTACCTCTCTATAAACAGTCCAAATTTCATGCCATTCTTGAATTTCTTTCATTGACAGTTTTGCGAACCTTTCGAAAATCGTAAATAACATATGCCTTTGTTAGCCCCGGTGAACCGCTTTCCCGCCCCTTCCCTAGGCAATATAACAGTGAACAATGGTTACATAAATTGCTCTGGACGAGTAAGTCTGGTTGCAAAATTCCGCCATATCAAATAACTACGCCTAGAGCATTGGAGACATTGTGAAACATTGAAAGCAATGTAGTTCAAAGCTAAAAGAATGTTTGAAACTGTTTATGATACGACTTAATAGATACCGCCAAGGTGGAGGGCCATTATTAATTACAAATATTAAAAGACGAAAATATTAAGAGCCGTCAACACGCGCTTTTGTTGTTCTGTCTTCCTAGTAGTTTCAAGTCGTATATTAAACGGGTCTCGCTGCACGCAGAATTATGTATCAAAGGAAGCTGAAAAAAATTCCTGACTTAACCGGAGAGGCTTTCCGCACAACTACAAACAAAGCATGCACATGTGCTTTTCGAGCTTTTCAATATCAAAATACGTCAAGTACGTTCTTAAAATTGGGTCTACGCAAAACACGAACCAGTTTGTTTGCATGTACTTCACAAACGATACGCAGCCTTAGTTTTTTTTTGTCTTCTCAAAAGATGGACAATTATATTGTATTTATAAAACAAACGTACCCACCAGCCACTATCGCCATGTTTATTTTAAGGTGAACTGAACATAATTAATTTGTGTACCAGCCGTGCATGGCGCCCGCGACAAGATCTCCGGAAATTATTATTTATTTACTTTCAAACCACTAATCTCAATTGTTTTTGTTCCCTCATTATAACAATTTCTTTTCAAAAAGGACTCAAGAAACGGAATTTCCGCACATATATCATTCAACATATTACCTGATCCGAGCCGGCTTCATTAGGAACAATAAATTGTCATTTTGACATATGGATTTCTAGGGGAACGTGGAGAGCTCCATAGAACTCCGTATTTATGGTCTTTATGGGGTAATCACGGCTCTTACAGTCTTAAGACGTAAACGAGTATGCTTTATAGCCAAAGAAAAAGGCGTCCTCCAATTGTTTACATCTGAATACTGTGTATACACATGTGTTCCCAATTCTCAATCGCTGACTACCTTGCTCATTTGATTCTAGGCCGGCAGAAAAACTTGCAGAAATGACCAGCTTTTCTACGATCATTCAAAAAAATTGTTGCGCACAATTACACCCGATCTCTAAAATTTCTACTTGTCTCTCACCTGTAGATCTTGTTCTTCTTGAGGAGAAGAGGCAGCAACAAACCAAGCACATGCACACTTGTGGTCACAGCGGCCTAATCTCCGGTTTGCTTGCCGCGCGAAGGGTTACGGTTTTCAATATTTGTTGTCATGTCTGATCTAATTTGCCAAGATCAATAAACCAGACCAGCACACGTGGTCACGCAAGTCTATTTTATGTGTACCCCACGGCCCCGCCCACGCGCACGTAGCGAGAACTTTTACCGGAACTCAGTTATAGGGCACCCATCCTTAATGGCTTCCATAAGGGTTTCCTTAATCTATTTATCATATAGCCTGGATTTGCTGTAGCCTAGGAGCAGGCTCTCTTTTGCGAGTTTGGGGAAAATTTTGCGGCGAAGCGCGAGCCGGCGAAGCCACAATTCGACACAATGCACTTTTCCTCGCCCGCGAATCCAGGTCTCGAGAGACAAGTCTGCTTGCAACGTACCTAATACCCCAATTAAGGTCCCAAAAAAATACATGATACCCGATAAATCAAGGTAATTTTTTCTCCTTTTTCTTTGCCAGTTTTTCGTGTCTCATTCCGTATAAAGCTTAGCCCTTCATGATATAAGCAGTACGTTCACAGGCTGGCATCCCAGACAAGGAACTCAGGATGCGTGATGAGGAAACGTTTGGAGAAAAAGATAGTCCGGTATCGATTTCAATATTTATTTTTAATTTTTTAAATATATTTGAGGGATAAAGCACCATAAAGGGCACTATCACGGGAATTCTTGCCATACTATTAAAAAAAGGTATAGACTTAAAAGCGAATTCTAAGGAAGAAAACCAATCGAGTATAAGAATTTCTGGCAGCCTCCGTAGCTGGCGGTAGAGGAGACTGTTTACAAACATTGTTTTTGTTATTCGAATTTGAAACGAATGAAACAAAGAATCGTTTGTGGTAAGAGCCAATGCACTTCCGGTCAACACATTAATATCAACAGGTGAAGTCAGCGTAAGTATCTGTGACTGTTGACAAAACAACGACCACACAAGCATCCTTGGAATGAATTCGGCTGTAAAGAAGCGAGACGAATTGGCCTTCGGAAAGCACTTGCGCACTCTAATCTAGCCGTGTCCCAGCTACGAAGGCTACATTCTGGCGGTTTTTCCAAAGAGTATGGCAAAAATCCGATCCTTGTCCTCTTCATCATTTTTGGCCCTGGGCAAGATAAATGTGTGTCATTACAGTTGCTAAGCAACTGTCCTTACAATCTATTCTTACTTTGCTCGTTTTTCAGCTTCCTGAATTTTTTTTACCTAAATGATACTTTTTCTCCTCAGCTGGGGTAGTGACAGTTCATTTGTTAAGTAGCTAAGTAGCCACTTAGATACTGGTTTATTGCAGTTATATTTGACCAGCCTACTTGGCACCAGTCTCCTGTCCTTCGAAAAGACCATATTTGGCCTCCACTTCTGGCCACGTGACTTTGCCGCGGACAAGGCTGTTGACTATAGACGGAAGCTCCTCAATCTAAACAAAAACAAAATACAATTCCTTTTGTTAATTGTTATGGTTATTTTAAGTTTCCGCCACGAAACAAAAAACTCAAGTTGGTTACACCAGATTTTGAAGCAAAAGAAACGGCGTCAGCAAACGTTTGTAAACAACAACAACAACAACAAAAAAACAAAACGAAAACAAAACGAAAAACGGTCAGACGGTAGACTTCCAATCAGTGAAAGCTACTACCCACTACTTTCAAATCTCTGGCATTGATTACGGTTGAACGTTCCCGAGCGAAAAATTTTAAACAGTTAAGTGTTGCTAAGACAACCGAGGAGGGCTGGGTACGAGTCGGCTTATTATGGGATAAACAACACGAGACCCACATAGTTAGTAAGAGCCCATTGAAATTAGGAAAAATCTCAAGTTTGGTGTCGATCTGGCCAAAATTTAACACCTATTTAAAAACTTGAAAATTAATAAGAGATGTATGGATTGCCGGACACACCGTCCGAACGTCTATATATTTCTTAGTAAATTTTGTAGTTTTCGAATAGCTGTATCTCGTTCAATATAGGCCCAATAAATACCAAACTTGAGAATGTTGCTAACCTCAATGTGCTCTTTCTGACTACATGGGTCTCGTGTTGTTTATCCCATAATAAACAGACTCGTACCCAGCCTCTCTTGGTTTGAAACTAAGCAATAATCGTTTACCTCGGCTCGTATTTGACGAGTAGAGTTTCTTTCTCGTAGAGTGGCACTGTGTGGTTCTTTGTTTACAGTATCAAAGTCCACTGTGATGCCAAATGGAATGGCAATCTCATCTGTACGCGCGTAACGGCGGCCGATCGATCCACTTGAATCGTCCACTTTGTGGGAAATATCTAGCTCTGTTAGTGAGGCGGCTGAAGAAATGGGGAAGAAAGAAAAGAGAAAGGATACACAAAATTGAAATGAGAGCTAAGACCATGACGCAAAGAATTCACAAAAATTAATTTCTTGAACAAACAGTTTACCATGCCAAACTGTGAAACGCAACTACGAGAAAAATCTTTGAAAAACGCATGAAATTTTGTTTTTTTCGAATTGAAAAGGGATAACTTAAAAACCTTATTGGCAATAAAAAAAAATCCTGTTATCCCTTTCTGACAAAAACTTCATCTGAACAAAGAATAGAAAGGGAGATGGGTTTTTTTCAGTACCCTTCGAACCCAGACGTATTTCCGGTGGTCGCTTCTGTCCACCCAAAAAGTAAAATTAGAAGGGGTCTGAGGAGGGGAGCATGGGTTCTAATCCCAAGTACTCACAGAACAAAGCTCAAGACCAAGAGCTATTACTTGGACTTAGCACCTGCGCGGTCATCATTTCCCGTACAAGTAGACTCAAACCTTAAGAACCTTCATATTACTGGAAATGCATCAAGATTTACTAATTCAAATCTGAAACGAAAAACAGGATTACTTACACAGTTTCTTGACAAATTGAACAAATTCCTTGTTCTTGCTGAGTGGAAGGACAGAACATTTTACTGGGGCGACTGCAGGCGGTAAAGACAGCCACTAAACAAGAAATAAAACCTTGTTAATCAGTTACTTCCCTTCAATAATTCATTTTCAAACTGCTTAAATAAAATTTGCTTCTCATGTGTTAAGAAGTTACCCCAAACCCTTCCCCTCCCCCCCGAAAAAAAAATGATGCGGATTGATAGTCTCTAGCCTGTCCAGGTGATGGGAAAGGGGATTACTTGAGTGTCCGCCCAGCCCTCCACCTCACCCCACCCCACCCCAGCCTATTCTTACACCTTGTATCCAAGATACCCCTTCTTCATTCTCACACGCTGCTTACTGTGACTGGGTATGTTGCCCTTGCTAATGCTTGTGTTGCAACCAGGGAAACAAGGACAGTTTAACACAGGAAAAGATGTTGCAGCTTTTTGAAGTTGTATAAACAAATGCATTTTTTTTAAAGACTGGCTGTCGTAGGCTAGGCGTCGTTGCAACTCGTTACATGAAATAGTAGCCTATTTTTATTCTCGTTCAGCAACTTTCAACATGTTGAATGGCGTTCGTAACATCCTGGCCTGCGTGGTAGGCGTTAAAAGACGAAGGGATGGGGACTGTTTTTCCCATCCTTGCGCGCCCCTCGGCACTCGCACGCTCAAATTCCCCCTTCCTCTTCCCACTCAGGCTAGTAACATTCAGCATGGGATGATACACCGTTCAACAAGAGCTGCAACTATTGTTGATCAAATAAGTTAAATCGTGTGTCACTGGCTATAGATATACACAAGGTCTAGATTGTGAGAGGGTTAGAAGTAAAGAAAGGACAATACCGTTCTTTGTTCGTCTCCTTCTCTGATTTGAAAGTTATGTTCAAGGACAGAGTACATGATTCTCCCCACTCCAAAAGATGGCTCTATCACGTGAGGTTCCACGTCACGGACTGAAGAAAATACAAGGATACATGACTCAATAACATTGATGATAAAAACTTCCTCCACATACAAATTCTCCAAACTGAATTCCATACATTTCTTTAAAGAATTAGTTGAGAGAATTTGACAAAAGATCAAAGCATTTTCCCCCGGCCGATCGTTTTATTACTTTTGGGCAACTTTTTCTGTTGGTCATCTATTCATATTGTTACCCACCATACAATTCGATTAGAGTCACGATCTAGCAATGACGAACAGTCACACTAAGAGATCACAACTGAATTAATCAGACTCCTCCTAGAAAATAAGGCTCTAAAATAGGCCATTTCCGAGATCCCCCGGGCCTCTGTATTAAAACGAGGTTAGGTGCTCAACCTTTGATATGGAAATGATTTTTCATTCTCATGCAAATAAAACTCATTTCCACAAGAAAGGTTGTGAACTTGGCCTCATTTTGAAAGTGAGGGTTTTTGGAATTCGGAAGTGGCCTATTGGTAAGGTAATTTTTTAGGCAAATATACACCGGACATCTAAAGACAAGTGTTCATAATATGCACCTCAGCACTTAAATATTATCCTTAAAACTTAGGACGTTATTCAGTTGTCCGTCACCTACCATGGACTTCTTTTTGGTATCGTCTGATTTCCCTGATCATGGACTTTTGAATGATGAATTCTTTTGAATCTACAGTTATGGTTGCTTCTCTGAGTAAGAAAAAATATCAGTAAAACACAGCAGTACAGAATGGTTTTTCGTTATGCCAAAAAACAATTTCTTGATTGTTTGGTTTTTTTTCCACCCCGCCCGGCGATAAGCTAAACAACCTCGCGTTAGCTTCTCTATTAATCAGCAGTAACTTGAACAAAACTCAAAACTAATTATCATTCGCTCCAAGACGTCTTTTCACTGCCGGGTACATGTATTTGCTTTAAATTCTTATTGGTGACTACCGCATTTAAGCCTTTTTTAATTGGCCAGGATAATAACCTTGGATTTGGGTTTGAGGCGTTTGACCGAAAACTACTCTATTGCTTATTGTTAAATGGCTGGTTCCTTAAGCGGACAAGATAAGCAAATCCTGTGTTCTGATTGGCTACTCAAGCGGGTAACATGCATGAAGTCCGCACCTTGCTCGAACGGATATCTCACTTTGGTGCCGTAAGAGAAAGTTCTAGGAGAATTAAAAAAAAAAACTTACAACGAATTTCAAACAAAAAAAAAAAGAGAGAGAGATATCGCCCGCATCTCCCAATCTGAATTCTCTTTCGGTACCCAAAAGTGTCAGATTCTCAAGTCTAGAGAATAGTAATTTTTTATTCAATATTATTCTCACCCATTTTCATTAAGTTTGTCTTCAAATTCTTTCACGCTATCCTTGTCTATCTGCGCCAGATAGTCCATAACAATTTTTCCTTCTTTCTTGAAAGCTTTTCCAATGGTAGGCTTTTCAGGGACGACCTCTACCATGTCTACCATTTCCTTAAAGAGTCACGATTCAAGGCTAATACAAACGCATAATTATAAAACCCTTTTATATGCTCTGCAAAGCTTGCATTGAGTCAGAGGACCATGCATTGGCAGACCTAAGCGTCCATCCTTCAGGTACGATGCGATAGATTGAAGGTTGTTTATAAACTGATTCATCTTTCGCGCCGAAACAAAAACAGTTAATCAGAACAGAGAAGGATTTACACCAATGGCGGATGAGAACAGGGAGGGAAAGGGAAAAGCGCCTTGTAGCTTAATAGTCACATAGTACGGAAACACCTTAGTGGAACTCAAACGAAACCTTAGAACCTTAAAATGAAAGAAAATTAGTATTTTAGATGATCTCAACGTTTTTTCTTGTCTTACTACATCATTTACGTTCTGGCAAGGTGCTTTAGTATCGTGTGACCGTTTAACTTTAAAGTGCCTATTAAACTGGCTGAAAGATGTTGGAAGAAAGGACCAAGAAATCACCATCTTGTACTGAACCTTACCCTGCACAGCAAGCGTTTCCGTGTGGTTTTGGAGCAAAGAAAGACCGAAAAAGAACAAGGAACGGGATTCTTGGTTTTGGCCACGCGAAAAATGGAGCAAGAGCTCTTTAACTCGCCCTATTTTTCGCGCGGTCTTTGTGTGTCCTTCCATTTTTCACGCGGCCAAAACCGAAAATCTCGTTCCTCGTTTTTTGCTCCGAAACCGCACGGAAACGCTTGATACGCAGGCTAATAAAACCAGCCTCAACGTGATGGGTCCATGGTTTTACTGGGGGATTGCAACCATTAAAGAGCAAGAAAACCTTGGTTTAAAATGGAAACAGTCTACAACCTAAACGTTTGGAAGGATACAGGTTGAGGAAGATCGACTTGGGCGACCAAACGTTCACCTGCTGCTTTTGTGTGAACTGAGAGATCATAACAGGCTCTGTCGGCACATCCTACACATTCGATCCAACCCTGTAATAAAGAGAAACATACAAGCAATCATTTTTTTATCCATCACCATGGCAACCACGAAAGGGTAAGTTCAGTTGGTGGGGCGCTGGTCTTCAAAGTGGCAGGCTGCATAGCTGGACCAGTACTCAGGGACTTCAGGTAACTGGGCAAGAAGGTAATGCTTTTCCTCTGCAAAAAGTGGATGACCTCATGAAGTGGCTGATCTTATCTCCATGAGGGGACGTAAATATGGTAATCTATTCTCACTGGTGCCTTCTGCAAACAATGCCTGTACTACTAATGAGATATGGAGGAGTTAGCCCAAGTTGGTAAGAACGGGAAGCGCCTGGTTGACAACTAATGCAAAGCTGCAGGCAGACGGTTGGGGCACGAAACGAAGCATACGAAACACCGAAAAGACTAAGCACACTATTAAGAAACCTACGATACCAGGGCACGTGTTGGATTGCCATGAACTATATGCGAGGTGCTAGGGGTTGTGTAGTATTACCGACGTAAAGTTCTCCTAATTAGCACTTTTGTGCCAAATGCACCAAAGCCAGAGGATTTCTGAAATTGATAAAAAGCATTCTAATAAAAAAAAGACCTTCAAATAACCCTCAACTTTCTTTTCCTTTTCTAAAAGGTTTTTTTGTAGCAAGAAGCATTTAAATATACCCACAACTTGCGATATCCTTTTATGGACGAGTCGAAGGCACAAAGGGCAATTACGAAGGTTTTTGGTCTTGTCGAATTATTTGCGAAAAGCTATCGCTTTCAGAATGCTGGCTCCTTATGCAATTACAAGAACACACGCGCGAAAGTGTTAACAACAAAAAAACAACAACAAAATTAACACTCACATAGGAGGTAAGAAGTTCTGCATCCCAACAGTCACAAGCATAATGTGCCATTTCATTAAACATGTGCTGTCTAAAGCGGATCTTCTTTGGGTCAGCTCCAACCTTCAACAGGAACAGGTACACTCGGCCAAGAAAGTAACCCATGGTCTGGGTACTAATGATTTTCTGTTGTCAGAAAGTAAACAGATTGAAGCAATGGTTAAGAAATTGAGAGCCAAATGGCTATCCGAGGGGATTGGGGGAAGGGGGGGGGGGAAGTATGTCCCTAGTCTAAATTACAAATGCGTTTGTTTGGCGCTTTGAGGTGTAGGCCACGTACCTGTCGGTATTTAGCCTATCGTTATATCCTTTGTCCCCACTTCCTCTAGTCTTATGTCACTGTTTCAAGGCTATCTTGCTTGTCGGAATTTTACCCTGAACACGGCCTCTATTTAAGTTAATGGAGCTTAATAGAAATTCCATTGTGCAGTACGTAGTGCCTGTTTACATGGAGATGGAGGACCCCAGGTAGGTGAGGTAACCCGCTTAGATGGGGTAGCCCGCCTGTCCATATAATCTCTCATTTTAATTTGATCACGTTTACATGATAGGTGGGGTGACCCCTCCTGGATTACCTCACCTACCTGGGGACGCCCACCTCCATGTAAACAAGCCCTTAGGAAGCTGTGATAGATTCCACTGTGGGTAACCTTGAAAGACCTGATAATTTCTATTGTGCTTAGCTTCCATTTAATAAGGTAATTAAATAAGGACATGACAAGGACCAGAACACTCAAATGAAGTTAGTACAGCTCAAGTATGTCATCTAAGTAATTTGAATCACCTGGTATTCAATATCAATCTGCAGAAATGAGAAAGAATCCTCGGCATTTGTTTTTCTTCTATGCATAAGGTCTTTTCTGGAAAGAATTCTTTTAAGCAAGGTTTCTGATAAAGTGTTTGAACTAACCAAAACATTTTAATTTAAAATGACAGAAGAAATTGGTAGTGAAAGATCTGATAACTGTCACATGGTGGACAAGAATGAAACTTTTGATAAAGGGCTAGAGTCTTAGAAAAGGAGTCTGGACTGGAACATAATGTCAAGATCTGAAAGAAACATCTAAGGAAGAGAAGACCACTGACCTGGTTGACTGCATCCTCAAGTGAAATGTTCAGGGGTGGTTTCCCTTCTATCTGGTTCTCTGAAGGGTACAGAGTTACCTTTTGGGAGCTCACATTTTCAAATTTAGGATGACTCTTGTCAGTTGGATCAACAAAATGTTCTATTTCAGCCAAAGTGAATTCTCTGAATAAAAAAAAAGTGGGAATAAGCATATATTATCATAAGACGAATAACATCATAAATTCGAAAAGCATTCCTGGAAAAATCATGTGCATTGAGTTGCAACCACTATGGAATGACAAGATGTTGCTGTTAGAACTATACAGTTTCTTGTCAGTAATAAGATCTACTAAAATTGTAAGGAATAGTTAAAATGATATATAATCAACCCTCTCTAATGATAACACTGTTGAAACTGCAGCCTTTATAGCAATCACTCCCATGTAAACAAGGCCAAACCTTTGCATTTTGCTCACATAAGAAATAAGGCCCATTGACAAAATGTTGATCAGTCCAGATCTGATCAGTCCCTCCCTTTGTTTGATGATTTTGGGAGGTGTTCATCTTTTGGAAGTGCTTGTTTGAATGGACAGATGTCCATTAATTATTGGACAAAAGGTGGTGTCTCACCAGGTGCTCGTCATCATTTGGAGGTGCCCATTTTATGGATGAAATGTCTATTAATTGGACATTAGGTGGTGTCTACCTAGGTGCTCCTCTAAAGAGGTTGTTCATTTGTGAAGGTGCCTGTTTGATGAAAAGTCCATTAAGAAAGAGTTGACTGCATCTTAGTTTACCTCACTCTTAGAAGACCAGATCGAGGTGAAATTTCATTCCTGAAGGCAGGTCCAATCTGAGCTGCAGCAAATGGTAGTCTTCCATTATTGGCATCCAAAAGACGCTTGAAATTTACAAAGATTCCTTGTGCTGTTTCTGGTCTGAGATAGCTACACAAGAAAGGGAGAAATTAAAAAAAAAAACGGTAACATACATCATATCATTTTTTGACATATGGTATTTTTTTTGGTTGATGCAGAGGAAAGAGAAAGTGCTGTTGCTACTGGTAGCACAAAGGCATTGTACTTGCTATTTGTTTGAAAATCTTTTCTCCTTCATATGCAAATCAAGTTTGTAGTAAGTTTTTTTGTCTTTAGGAGGCTAGGGGTAAAGAAAATCAGAGAAGCACAAAGATATATGTATGTCAAAAAAAATCAAATGGGGATCACCCCGCTAGCCTGATTCTCAGACATCCGAGGTTGTTCGCAGTCCCTTTGCTTCTCTCCCTGAGAAGCAAAGGGGCGGCAAATGATCCAGCACGTTTGAGAATCAGGCTATTACCCCACTTGCCCTGAGATAAATCCAGTTCTCTAAAACATGAGCCCCATCTTTGTATCCAAGGGTTCTCTAGAAAGAGAAGGGGCTAAAGTTTGAACAAGCGCCCCTTTATGCATCTACACAGAATTGTCCTCTTAAACAGTGTACCCTATAGAAGGAGCCTGATTAGTACTGGGGCTAGAACCACTTACAGAGGGTAGAATCAGTTTACACAAGGATGGGCCCACTTACCTGGGAATGAACCCATTTACCCATGGATGACCCTATTCAAACAGGCACCAGCAATCTTACCCAGAACAAACCCAACTACAGCTGTAAATATATTCAAGGACAAGCCCACTCACTCAGGAATGAACCCACTTACCTGAACAGACATGCCTGATTACCTATAAGTAATCCTCTAAACTCATGGACAAGCACCTGTACTCAGGGCTTACCCGCTAATTCAAGGATGTCCTTTCTTGCAGAAGGACAAAAACTAATTATGCAAGTTACTTCAAGATTAAACCACTTACCCAGAAATGACCCCTTCACACAGAAGTAAATAAAATTAAGCACAGATAATGTAACTTACCCTGGAATGAGCCCACTGGGACCAATTGAAGTTGTAAACATCAAATTGAACTCCACAGGGTTGGTAAGGTCATTTCCAGTCACAGGTGCCTTGGCATCGTATTTAGAGATAAGGTCGCCAAGTTCTTTCATTCCATAGTTGTCAATCTAAAAAGCAACATAGTATGTAATGACATTGATTATAAAAAGACTCAGTGTGAGTTCTTGAAACATAAGTTTGCAACACCAATTTTAAAATAAACATGGCAAACGACATTTCTCCCAGTCCTGAACAAACAAGTTAATATTAATTTTATTTCACCATTATTTTAAATTATTTATTTCTATCTTTACCTGACCAATAACACTTTCATATTCCTTTCTCTTTTCGGCATCCAGCTTCTTATCAGCCAACAACTTTTCAAGATGACCTTTAAGAAAAAGAACGCAACATTGAACTTTTAGGGACATTTATTTAAACAAAGTCTAACTTAGGCCATGGTTTAAGAAATCAGTGGACCTCTACATCTCTTTCTTAGAAGGCTAATTTAAGAAAAGTAGTGCTTTTCCAGTCTATGCTGTATTCTCTATTGAAAATTTATTTTCAACAATTAATTTCAATAGAGCATACAATGGCGTTTAGATGAAAGTGTTAGGCAAACTGAAAATGGCTGAGGATGCAGTTTTGTTAAACACAGGCTTAACTCTGTTTAAATAACTGGCCCTTAGTGTTCTTCTTTTTGCATGTACATGTATTTTGTAATGCCTGCCGTCTTACTTTCCTCGCCTACTGTTTTTTTGCCCACTAACTCCCTTTATTATATAGGCTCACTGTGGGTCATGCAGTAGTGTCTGAGTAGGTAATTAATACAAATTAATTGCAAACACTTTCCAGCTCAAAATACAACTTTCAAAGGCTTTTAAAATTTCCTTGCTTCTTATTTATTTTATAAATTTGAGGTACAACTTTTAAAGAACG